TTTGAAGTGTAGGCACTTGTATAACAATTCTCCAGTCACATGCTCAAGGAGAAATAAATGAGCAACTGTATAGATCCATATCAACAAACTACTTCCAGAAGTGTTATATCAATGAGGAATTGGTCTCATGTAAAACTCATGGGCTTTAATTGCACATCTGAGACTAAAAGTTTCTCTGCTAACTACAAATATGGTATTTTGCACTGAAAGAATAGAATAATTTCCAAGGATATGTTGTTGGGAAAGCCCCTTTCCTTCCATTACTGTAAGGGCAAGGGAGCCAACATGGAGTGGTTGAGTGTAAAACTATGACTGTAAAAGATTAGGCTTTGAATCTCCACTTGTCCACAGAAACCCATAGGGGGGAAGTAGAAAACCCACTTCCAGATCCAGAGAAAAGCAAAAGCAAGCTTCTCCATAAATCATAAATGACTTGAAGGCACATAGCAATAACAGAGAGAACTACAGTTAATCTTGGAAAGAGTAGGTATATATCAATAAGATGGCAGAGGATGTTGTAATTCCTGCCAAATATTAAAAAAATGTTCTGGTGTTTTGACACTCAGAGCCTTGGGTCAACTACCACAAACATTCTGGAGATCAAGATTTTTTTATTTATTTGTTCATTTGCTTGTTTAGAACAGGTTTCAGCCAGAAAAGATCACAGAGTACTGTGCACATTCATCTGACAATCGGGTTGCTCTGAGTTTTCCAGGCTGTATGGCCATGTTCCAGAAGCATTCAATCTGGAGAATGCTTCTGGAACATGGCCATACAACCTGGAAAACTCACAGAAACCCAGTGATTCTGAAAACCTTATGCAACAAATCTGACAATCCCCTGCTCCCAGGTTTATAATCCAAGACATAAAAAACAAGGAAAGTAGGATGCAATGTATAACCATAAAATCCTGGCTGCTCTTCTTTTCCTCAAAAGGTCCTAGCAGTCCCAGTTAGTCTGAAGGTAGGGCTTATCGTCAGTCCCTGGAACCAAAATACAGTAGTGCTGCGCCTGGCTGCACTTCTCTCCCTCAGATGCCAGAGCAATGGGTCTCAGCAGTGCTCAACAATGGGGTTTTACAAGTTATCTTTGCTTCACTTATGACAGCTCTTCCCGCAGGCACCCTACGAGTTGGGCATAAACAGCCCAGTGTCAGACAGCAAGTTCTGCTCTCAGTGTGGCTATCTCACTGTGGAGTTTTGATTTCTTTCTTTCTCTCTCAATTTCTTCTGTCATTGAAGAAAAATCATTCTCTCATTTAAGAGAAAAGGAATGTTCAGGGATGCCACCACTCTCTCTAATTATGAAGTCAGGAACTGGGTGCTAAGAGACACAGATCCAAAGTAAAGCAGCATTAAGAAAGAGGCAGGAACCCTGAGGTTTGTAGAACACCACTGAAAAGAAAAGAAACCCAAATAATACTCCTCTTATCAGCTCAGTGAAGGTTGTAGTGAAGGCTCAATAGGAAACCTTCAATGGGTCAATTGCTCTATGCCATTAAAAATGGTGTACACTATCCTAAAGAAACATAGGAGCCAGATTTAGGTGTCAGTTTCATTGAAGAACAGTGGATACATAGAAGTCAATCTTATCTCTAAGACTAAATGTTTTTAATAGTAGTAGTAGTAGTAGTAGTAGTAGTAATAACAATAATAATACTTTTATTTCTTACCTGCCTGTCCTCGTGGTTCAAGACGATTTTACAATGTAGATAAAACACACAATCATCATAAACATTCTTTAAAATACACATATTAAAACATATTTCTACAAAATACATATTCAAATACACAGAGCAAATTAAAACACAAGATGAGAGTTTAAAATTAATGATTAAAACTTACTGTGGTTAGGCCTTTTTACAGCATTAACCAATAATTAGATTTACGGGAGGGCTACCCTGAAGAGAACAGCAGAAGAACTGGTGAGGCTAGCCTGGTTGAGAAGTCAACTAAAACTATTATAGAAGTTAGGAATAACCCCAAGGATTTAGCACAGTCAGTTGCTAAGTTCCCACTCTGTATTTCCTATATTATCCTAAATGCACCAGATCCTGTCTGATGTTGGAAAATATGCAGGGTTAGCTCTGGTCAATTCTGGGACTGAGGCCATCAAGAAATTCCAAGTGCAGAGCAAGGAACAAGTAAATGCTAGCCCCAAATATTCCTTGCCAAAGAAACCCTATAAAATCCATGGAGTCACAATAAATTGACAGGAGATGTTTACATTCATACACAACATGATTTAAATCACTCCACAATGATAGTTCTTTCTACATTCTTACTCTCTTAAATGTTAGTTTCTAGCATTTTCCTGATAGAAATTTGTGATCTTGCTTTCAGTGCATACCGATATCGCAATTTTTTGCTTTAGCCTTTTGCCTTGATGGTTGTTTTTCCTTCAGCTTCAGCTGTAAACCCACTTAAATAAAAAACACACACCTTGTGAGGGAATTGCCTGGGGATCACAGTGCAAAACTGGCAAGACAGCTGTGTCTAAAGGGAAATTAGCGATGAAGTGCTTGAATCGGATTGCATCCCATTTCCCTCTTTAAAATGCAGACACTTCAGTGCAAAATTCAGCAGAGGCCCAGAGGAATAGACTAACAACAACTTCTTTGGTTGCTCAGAATTTTCCTCTCAGCAGCCTCTCAGCCTGCTCTCAGAAAACAAACCTCAACAGCTTGTAAAATTCTCAGGATCATTCCTTTTTAAAAAATTAAACTGAAATGCTTTTCACCTGTCCAAATCAAACTTTTGACTCATTGGGACAAAAATATGCAGGGAAATCACATTTGTGAAAGAGAAACCAACTATTTTTAACCAATTTGTTCATACTGCCTGCTAAAAAGTCCTTAGATTTTTCTTGCTGCTTTTAGTATAGTGTGCTTCCTATAGTTTAGGTATTTCAAAGCTTTTACGTGCAATTTCTTTCTCCTTTTTTCTCAGCATTCAGTGAACCCTCCTTGGGGTGAATTCAGAATAGTTAGAATAGGTACAGAGGTGATATGACTATTTATCATCCCTGGTAAGGGTTGTGTTGATCGGATGCATCACAAGTTGGGAATGTGGCTCACCATTTTCTGACGTATCTTAAGATGTCATAAAAATTGTAAAGGTATAGTTAAACACAATTTATTGGTGGCTGGTTACTACCATCAGCACTGTTTCTTCACACCAGAAATACAGTCAGGAATGATTTCAGTTGGTGATTTATCAAAATGAAGTATTTGAGCATTGGACTATGACTCTAGGTACGAGAATTTGACCCCCGCTTGGCCATGGAATCCCAACTTGGTGATCTTGGGCAACTCATGGTGGCTTGTTCTCAGAGAAAGCATATCCTCTCTAAGCAAATCTTGCCAAGAATACGCTTTAACAACTTTGCATTAGGGTCCCCATAAGTTTGAAATGACCTGAAGTTACAGAATAGCGATTTTCCAGACGCTATATAGATCAATTGAAAATTATTGATTGTTGGGATGTGAAAATTCCTAGATTCTATCATATGACACCAGTTGTGAAATAGGGCTCAGGTACAATATGTTTTTTCCCCTTTTTGATCACAATATTCTGAATTCTGCTAATCATAAGGATATTGTTAAGTAACAATTGAGGAGAAAAATCTACTCTTGCCATTTTTCTCTCATTTAAAATTAAAATAAGTATCATTGCACAGTTACACACAGATGGCTCTACCATTTTGGGAGAAAAGAGAAATCAGTTCAGGGACGATTACAACAATGTAGCTAGAGAAAACTGATGGCAGGACAGTTTGTTTTATTTATCATGACAGAAGTGAATTGAAAATACAGTTATAATGTATTAAAAAAAACACACAAACAAGGTTAAAAACTTGGCATTTTGCTGAATTTCCTTTGACCAGAAGCTGGCTATTTTGAGTGCCTCTGGTGTTGCTGTAAGAAGGTCCACCATTGTGCATGTGGCAGGACTCAACTCTAGTAAATGGGCTGTGGTTTGCTCTTCTCCACACTTGCATGTTGTGGGCATGGTGTTTTGGATTTCAGCTCCCACAGTTCCTAACTTGGTGACAAGGTTGGGTTTCCCATTCATCAGAAGTTGGTGTGCTATCTGATCTGCCTTTATGTTGGCATGTGTATTAGTTTATGAAAGATCATTGCTCAACCGTCTTAACAGCCTCCATGCTTTCTGACTACTCTTGTCCATATCGACTCCTGGTATCAACTTTACCCACTGTTCTTTCTTGGCTTCAGAGATGCAGGACAGAATGCTCTGTGCTGCCTAAAGAGTTTGCTCACTTAATGGGTCTTCATTGTTCAACAGAAATATTGTTCATATTGTCATGGATATGGCTTTTTAAAAAAGTTTCTATCTCTTCATTGGTGAGCTGACTACAGCATTTAGACTACAGCATTTAGAATACAAAAAAATATTTAGCAGGCTTTCAAAAGAATTACTCCTGTTAATACTTATAGTGGAATTATTTCCTTGGCAAACCTACACTTCAGACTATTGTGTATTTTGCCATCAAGCCAGGATTACAAAGGGCAGCTTCCCTGTGATAAATTCTCCGTGCATCAGCTTGTATCATACAAAGTATGGGAAAGTTTCTGAGAGTTGTAGTACAAAGAGAAGGTAAATTTCTCAAACTTTGGAAAATACAACTTGGTACAAGGTGATGTTGAGGATTCTGGGAGTAACAACAACAACAGCAACGATAATATTTTCCAAGTTTTTGACAAGCTGTCTTATGACATCACACATAGAATCTCCAGCTCACTCTTGGACATTCTCAGTAATGGCTAAAGATGAAGAGAAGTTTCTCCATGTGAAACATATGCAGTGAAACAAATAAGAAGTTTATGCAGACATTACAGCTGTCTGCATGGACTACACAAGGCCTGTTAGCAGCACCACCATGTGGAAAGTATGATAAGTAGATCAGTTCAGTTTATCACAAGATGAATGCATGCAGATTCTTTTTAAATCCTTGATTTTATGTTTGTGTTCTTTTGATAGGATATGATGGTTTTGATTTATCTGATGCTATTGGGATGACAGGTAAGTGTGTTGGTAAAAAAATTAAATCTAGTATTGTTTCCTTATGCAAAGCTTGAGACAGAAGTGAATATAGTGTGCTGAAGCAATGAGATTAAAGGAAGAAAACAAATACTGAAATTCAAAAGAAACAAAAAGATAAGATGCAACATGTTTATTTTGACTGGATACAGATTTCACTTTTCAGGTTGTAACCAAAAGGGGCATATTAGCCATGTTTAAATATTTGAAAGTATACCATATTGAACATGTAGCAGGTTCCCCCCCCCCCCCCCCCCCCCCCCCCGCTGTTCTAGAGACAAGGAGTGCATATACATTCTGGAATTAAGGCAGTTTGACACCACTTTAACTGTCACAAGTCAATACTATGGAATCTTGAGCTGTATTTTGACAGCATTTTAGCCTGTCAAAGACTGCTAGTGTCTCATCAAGCTACAGCTCCCATGATTCTATAGCATTGAGGCACAACAGATAAAGTGGTGTCAAACTGCATTAATTCCAGAGTGTAGAAATGCACCCTAGGACACTGAGCAATAGATTCAAATTTCAGGAAAAGGTGTTCTACCTGAATATTAGGAAGGACTTTCTGATGGATAGTGGAGTATGCTGCCTCGGAGTGTGGTGGAGTCTCTCTTTCTGGAGGTTTTTAAGCAGAACTGCAGCCACAGATATACTCTGACCACAAATTGTTTTCAGTCGGATATGCTGGAATATATATACTTATGGTAGTTGTAGTGCATCATATCTTGAGGGCAGAAGGATGGAGATTATTGCTTTAGAAACTCTGAGAATACAGTCCAGGAGAAAAATACAAGGGGTATGCACAGCTGAACCTTGGCCTAAGAACAGTGCCAGATTTAGGACAAATGAGACAATGTGCTAGTGAAGTTATGAGGCCCCTTCCTCCATTGTTCCTTGAAGGAGATAAGCCTGGTAGGCCTACACTGTCTGCTTTGTGGCCAATTCCCATAGACTATCAATTCTATCATTATGTCTGGAATGACTTCAAATTCAGAATTGCACCATATAAGGAAAATCCATCGTAAAAAAAAAAATTGCGGCAGGAAGAGTCCTCCCCCGCCTGACCAACATAGCCCTGTGCTTAAGCAGCCATACGCAGCACAGTGGTAAATCTGGCACTGCCTAAGAACCCTTCTTTTAAACCAGGGGTCCACAAACTTTTTAAGCAGAGGGCCAGGTCACAGTGCCTCAAACTGTACGAGGGCTGGATTATAATTTGAAAAAAACATGAATGAATTCCTATGCACACTGCACATATCTTATTTGTAGTGCAAAAAAACACTTAAAAACAATACAATAATTAAAATGAAGAACAATTTTAACAAATATAAACTTATTAGTATTTCAATGGGAAGTGTGGGCCTGCTTTTGGCTGATGAGATAGGATTGTTATTGTTGTGTGCTTTCAAGTCGTTTCAGACTTAGGTTGACCCTGAGTGAGGGCCAGGTAAATGACCTTGGAGGGCCATATCCAGCCCACAGGCCTTAGTTTGAGGATCCCTGTTTTAAACCTAACTTTAAATTTACAGCATTTTTTCAAAAGTGCAGAATCATTTTTTAAACTTTTAATTGATATTTTTCATAACAGAATCATGTTTTGAACTGCATGCTTCAGCACACAGCTACCCAACATAATAATTATCTGACATAATTAAAATTACACAAAATGTAAAGGATAAAGCCATCTGAATTCTCCATACGTGTTCCTCTGTGCATTTATATGAATACATAATCATGTTCAAAAGGGCTTACTCCTTGGTAACTGTGGATATAATTACAATTCAGACATGTTAATAAAAACTCTAGTTATTTGTTATTTAACCATATTGTGGGAAGTTTGCTTTTGATAATCTATCCATAGACTGACTTTGATTTATCTGGTTTAGTTACCAAGCGGCCTAATCCAACCACCAAAAGACCACCAGTAGGTGAGTATCAGATTACATTTGAGTATGAATGACTGAAGTCACCATGCTTGTGTGTATCTGCAAGATCCAAATCTACGAATGGAGCTATAAACATAGCCTTCAGGTTTAGTCCCAAAATTCTGTACTGAATTTTGATAAAGAATTCTACTCTCCCACCTGTTTTTACCAAACATGTGCTTCTTTGACCATTTAATTACTATATTATTTATTTCTTATTTATATCTCACTTTTTCTCTCCACAAAGAAAACTCAAACTGGCTTTCTACATTAAAAGCATTTCAATACATTTGACAGAAGGATAACAGGAAGGGGACCATTCTGACTTCCCTGGAAAGAAGGGAGTTTCAGAGTGGAGGGGCAGCCATGGAGAAGGAAGGCCCTCTCTTTCTCACCAACGAAGCTTGCAATGTTCATGTCACATTTGCATCAGAGTAAACAAGTTTGGCAAACTCTCTCCATAGTGACCTTATAATCTAACTTTACATGAAATTAGCTTTAAAAATGAAAGTGAGAAGATGATATTTTTGTTAAAGAAAAAAACCTGCTGATAGATTTCATATTTGGAAATGCTTATAATCAATAGGTGACAACCCCAGACCCAATCTATATCCGGATCTTCGACCGCATGGAGGCAGCCAGGGAAGTGATGGTATGATTTATTTTCACTTACAGATTCATAACATATGTGTTCATTTGGATTTCTGGGTTTTTTTGTTTTGTTTTTTACTTCTGGTCATCAATATAGTTCTGGAAATGTTTATCACAAACAGGTGGGAACTCTAGACCTAAGCTCTACCCTGATCTTAGACCTCATGGTGGTCATGGAAATGATGGTAAGAATAATTTTCATAGCTAAGATATCAAAAGGGAGAATTTATTAAATTTTTGTTTAATTGTATTGTTATCAGTTGTTTGGGGTAGCATTTTAATGTCTTCAACCTTCTTTTCCAAAAGTTTGTAGGAATGTTTAGGTCCTGTCTTTTTTTATGAAACAATTTCATTAGCATAGTCTAAACTTCCACTTCTAAACTGTTGATGGGTTTTTTCCTCTATTGTTTTTTGTCTCCTTATCAGAAAAAGTACCATAAACATCTGACAAGAAAAGAGCAATCCTAGAATATATTATCCAGTGTTGTCATAGTACCACACTTTTCAATAATTAATATGAAATAGTAGGGTAGGTCATTTAGGCATTTAGGGACTTATCAGCTTTCCGTAGGGCATGTAAGACATATTTGTTTCGACGGGCCTTTGATCTTTGATTGCTGTTTTTAAATTGTTTTAAATTGTTTTTAAATTGTGTTCAATTTTATCCTGTTCTTGTAAGCCGCTCTGAGCCCCAGGGGAGTGGCAGCATATAAGTTCAAATAAATAATAAATAATAAATAAATAAAGATGTGCTAACTGTTGTAATTCAATGTTAATTACTCATACTCATTTTTAATTTATTTGCATTTGATGTTGAAAACATTGGTCTCACTTCACAATAGTCATACATTTGCCACATGCTTTCATATGTTCTAGATTCAGATTTCAATCTAGAGGATGCCCTTGTTGGTGGAGGAGGCAGTACTGGCGGTGGTGGCAGTGCTGGTGGCAGTAGCAGTAACAGTAACAGTGGTGGTCATGGCAGCATTGGTGGTCGTAAGTATTTCCTTTAAAAGAAGTTTGATGTAAATCTAGAAATTGGTAGTCTTGAATAGGTTTATGCCAGTGGTGCTAATATCACTTACAGTAAATTAACACAAGCCAAATCTAAACTAATACAGCTTGAGGATTCCTTATCCAAAATACTTGGGAGTTTTGGATTTTAGATTTTTCTCAGATTTTGGAATGCCTGTATATTTGTGTGTGGGGGTGTGGGTGTGTGCATGCATATATGGCTATCTTGGAAATGTGCCCAAGTCTAAATATGACATTTATGTTTTGTATGGACCTTATACAGAGAGCTAGAAGATAATCTTTATACAATATATTTAATACTTTTGTGCATTAAACAAACTGTGTATATTGAACAATCATAATGCAAAAATGTCCTTGTCTCTAATGCCCTGGTAGACAATTTTGGAATTTCAGATAAAGGATACTCAATCTCTAGTTTAGTAATTTGGATTTACTGGTTTGGGCATCTGAGCTTGGATGTCTTTATGCATTTATGATGTGATGCGGGGGGGATGGACGGACAGAGAGCTGTGGATTTTTAGGGCATCTCTAACAGCATGGTCCGACAGTACCTATGTGATCCCCAACTACCCATAATGCCCATGTGTTAGCTTGAAATTCTGTGTGGTCAAGCTTCAGGCATAGAGCTCTGCCTGCAGCTTGACCTACTTTGTTATTAAATTATTTCTATAACTATTTTTATATATTTTTTATTTTCTAATGGATTGGGGATTCTGTGACCTAATTTTACAACCCATGCATGGTACGCAAAAGATGTGCCAAGGTGGACCATTCCTGTTTTTCCCTCTGAATGTGATCAGCAAGACAGATCTATACTGGTCATTATTTTGTGTGTATATGTGACGAGGGAGGGGGGCATCCTGTCATTTTTATGTCAGTCTTGTATTATCTGGGTATGTTTTTCCTTGCCTCAGTGGGTAGAGCATAAATTGGAAATGGTGTATGGTGACTTCAACCAACATGAAAAATCCCATTGCATTGTTGCATGGGTTTGAGCAGATAGTGAACTGATGGCATCCAGCCAGTGTTTCAGGTAATGCCTGAATCCAGCAGCAGTTTGTTTTGGGCTCGGTGTCTGGCTTTTCTCCAGTTGGCATGTCTGTTGTTCATGCAAGGAGGTTCAAGAGTGTGGGGAATTTACAAACACTCATAGAAATTGTGTTCTGTGATTGTTATGCTCCAGTAGGATACAAACTATGGTTGATTTTTTAAAAAGCAAAAGCAGGTTTAGAAAAGAGTTTGGCAGGGGCTGCTTAACTTTTGCTTTGTCTACTAGTTCAAGGCTTAAACTCAAATTTTCCCTTGCTAGGTTTCACACTGTGGACTTTTAAGTCTGATGGTAGAATGGCAGAGGAAGAAAGCCATATAGTAACATACTGCAGATGGGGAAATACATGCTTGCAAAAATGTGAAATACCCTGGCCACATACACATACAGATGCCTTATATCAAGTTGGATCTTTAGTCCGCTTAGCTCAGGATTGCCCACCACTTGAGAGGAGTTTTTAAAACAAGAGTCTTTTACAGGTAGAAATAGTTTAAGAGATTATACCTGAGCACATCTATTCAGAGAATATGGTGACTTATTCATCTTTAAAATACTGCTAAACCATTACAGGCTTTTTTTCCTAGAAAAGAGAAATGAGGATTACCATACATTTGAACAGATGCTAGCTGGTCATGTCACAGTTAAAGACAGAAACTTTATCTTTTGTAAATGAAGCAGAAAATTGTCTGCAAAAAATGGCTTTTTCATGAATCTTTAAACCTTGAAGAGTAACATCAAATTTCTATCTTTTTAGATGCTTTTAATGATCTGGATCTCAATGATGGGAAACCTCTACCACCAGTAGGTATGGAATAGTTTTTCAGGTTCTTTCAACTAGTCTTGTGTCCCTTTCTATGTTTTCAACATGATGGCATCTCTTAGATAAACCTCTTTTGACCCACAACTCAAAATAATTCCTATGGCTGACCATCTCTGCCATGGAGGATAAAGAGCTGTATTCTTTATTTTTATAGAAGGTTGTGTCAACCGAGACTACAATGAATGCAAGCAATGGAGAGGCATTTTTTCTGATTTCCTTTTTTTCCCCCAACATCCTAAACTTGTTTGAGAGATTGCTGGAGGGAGTGCAAACTTGAGTGGTGGAGAGAACTGTAAATAAAAATAGCAGAAATCCACTGAAGGATCATATTTGATTTCATTACTTTTGTACCTGCAATTCGGTCAATGAAAAAGGAATGGGCTCAGATTCATTCAGTAGCCTTCTTTGTAGTTTATACTCTCATATAGCATGAGTGCACAGTGGTTTTTTTTGTCCAGATGTTTTTGGGTGTTTGTTTCTTGTTGGTTAGGTTAGTCTGGTCCAAAAAATTTGAATTAATTATATTGTTCAGTATATTTTATCATGATAAGTTAAGTTACTTCCCACCTCTCAAGCCAGATGGGAGAAGCTGTGACAAGCTTAGTCGTAGCTGCAATTATTTCATAGTTTATTATTTCATAGTTCATTAAAAAGTTTCTTATTATAGCCTATACAAAAACATAGCTATTAATCTGGTAGTACTGTATGAACATCTTTTCAATTTATCAATTACTTTTAAAAAACTATTTATTTTGTAAAGTGGATTCTGTAATTTGAGCTATCTGTTCTTTAAGCAAATAGTGTCATATATATCTGTAAGTGATGGTGATATTTATAACTAGACTTTTTCTGAATCCAGTACTTAAGATGATTACAAAGGTCAAAACAGAACTTTAAATTTCATATGATACAAAAATAAAAAATAAACTAACAATGGCATTGATAGAATAGAACTAACAATCGCAAGAATAGAACTCTCTGCCCCGGAGTGTAGTGGAGGCTCCTTCTTTGGAGGCTTTTAAGCAGAGGCTGAATGGCCATCTGTTGGGGGTGCTTTGAATGCGATTTTCCTGCTTCTGCTGGGTGGTCCACAACGCTATGATTCTATTATTCTATTATTCTATGATCAAAACAGTTATACGTTTTCTTGGGGAGAAATCATGTCATTGCCTCTGTTTTAGGCGAGAAACCACATGTTTCAGATCAAGGTGGAAATAATGGTAAGTCTGGTACAGAACTTTCATTTTTCATAATATTGTGGATCAAACTACACTATGCAATATTCATATCTTTTAAAGTGTGCCCTGGACCCCACCTGGAATGTGGTACTTACTATCACCCAAAGGCATACCAGCTTCCATTGACCTCTATAATTGCAGTTTGCATGTAAACTACATTTCTGAGTGCAAATAGCAGCTGGAGGTGGGGGTAATTGATAAGGAATATGCTGAGGCACCCAGAACATTTCACTCAATTGGACAGCTTAAAAACACTTTTCTTAAATATGGGGTGTATAATGTGATGATTTGGTTCCATCCTGTGGTTAAAATTAATTAATGTTAGGTCTTTACCTTTTTTCTGCTCATGCCAAATGATTTCAATGGAATTCAATACAGGCAAAGAAGAGAATGACTGAACTTGTTATATCTTAAGACATTTGATCAACAATAAAAATCTGGTCCCTTAGATCAGTCTCTCCTTTGCTCTTAAGAATTGTTTCTCTCTCTCATGAGATTGTCTATCTGAGGTCTGTAGTAAACAGGGGCCAAAGTGACACTTATTTCTATGCTATAAGCAACATATCTGTGTACTGTAGACCTACATATTATGGGAGAGATCTGTTCCAGGACCTTTAATGTAATATGATGTTCCCATGATCTAAAGCCTATTTTTCTTAGCTGAAATGAACTTCAGTTGAAACCTAAGACAAAATACCTCTGGAGAACCAACTCTATTAACAGTTAACTGTAGAATCAGCTGGAGGTCTATAAAAAGTACAATTCTCTAGACATTTTCTAGGTCCTCTGAAGCAAGTCTATGGTATTTAGAGACCTTTGTGTATAAGTGAAGCCTCACTCAACAAGCTCATAAATAAATGGGCGTACTGTCCATATTTCTAAAAAATGTTGCTTTTCTTATTCTTACCATAGTTGATGCTAGTTCAACAGCTCAGATTACATCTCCAGTTGTGGCTGTAGTGGTGTTATTAGCTGTTGGGGCTCTAGCTGGCTATACTTCGTACAAGCAGAAGCGATACTGTTTTAAACCAAGAGGTAAGACTCACTGTAATAAATTTTATATAACTAGTTATTATAATTTTAAAATAAATGAACGTTTAAAAATTGCTTCCACTGGATGAAGTGGCCTACAACAAAACTTCAAAACAGGGTAGTTGAACTACCTTTTTCTGAATTACCAAGTAATTTAGGTTGCTATGCTCTATCCATTTACCTGATAGGTGCCACAGAATTCAACTGCATTTGCTTGTAAGTACACAGGTTAGCAGGATTAGCCAGTTTACATTGTACAAGGAGGAGGTGCCTAGTTAACCATGAAATAAATTCTGAAGTTTGTATGGTGATATCTTACTTTGCATGTCCTAGAAGGCTAAATATAGCAGTAGTAGGAACAACAACTTTAATAGAATTAGCATTCATGGGGAAACAACAACAACAATAACAACAATAACTCTGGCACAAGCCAGTCAAGGTGGTGCAGTGGCTAAAGACCTTGGCCTGCACTTAAACACAATCGGCACTGACAAAATTACCATCTGCCAGCTGCAGAAGGCCACCTTACTGGGATCTGCACACATTATACGCCGATACATCACACAGTCCTAGACTCTTGGCAAGTGTTCGACATTTGATCCAATACAACAGCCAGCAGAGTGATCTGGTCTGCCGTGGACTCATCTTGTTGTGTTTCAAATAATAATAATAATATTTATATTTTACTCTATCTCCCGAGGAGACTCAGGGTGGAGTTAATTATTTTAAAGGAAGGCTTTTGTGTTGGTGGTGGTGATGGTGTGCAAGTAATTTCCAACTTATAACAGCCCTACAGACCACATGGCTTTCTCAATTTGGGGAGCTTTTCCACACCTTTTTTAAAACCTAAAAGAGTGTGCCTTGCCAAGGTAATCCAATGAATTTCCCCGGTCAAGTAAAAAGTTAAACCCTTTTCTCCAATCCTAGTCCAACTCTCATACCACTATTTATTGACTATCAAGGGCTCATGAGGCCATGCACTCAATGGCTTTAGATCTGTTCCTAACAAGAGAGATAATAATAATTGTTTTAATTTGCTTTAGGTGTATTGTTATTTTGTGTATTGAGGCCTTGGCCTTTGTAAGCTGCATCGAGTCCTTCGGGAGATGCTAGCAGGGTACAAATAAAGTTTAATAATAATAATAATAATAATAATAATAATAATAATAATAATAAATAAAAGAAGAACAATAAAAATGGTTTTCTATTTGAGAATGCAAAGGACTCTCAGCTTTGAAATCTCAAACATGTTTTATCCATTGTGTTGCTAATTGTTCTCTTTGAAGGAAGAGAGAAATGATTTCCTTAAGAAGCCAGTTTTGTCAGGTCTGGGGGAAAAATTAGGCTATGTGTGTGGCAAATTTAGTACATAGATGTCAGCTTGAATTGTTTTACCATCTGCTTAAAGGAATATGTACCCAGAAAATAAGGTATGCATTTCAAGTGGTATAGATTATTCTTTTTCTGTGTTACTTAGTCTGAGACAGTGGGAGAAAAGAAATGAAGGGTCAGGGCTTCCAGTACAGTCTCAGTCAAATCTACTTGGAAGCAATTCTAGTGTGTTCAGTGGAGCTCATTCCCCAATAAAGGGATGAGAAGATACAGCTCTCCAGATATTGTTGGATTGACTCTCATTCACACTGGCCTGCGTTGTCAATACTGAGGAATCCTGGAAATTGCAATCTAACAACATCTGGAGGATGATGCTTTTCCCACACTATTAGAGTCTGTCTACACCAGACATGGGCAGACTTTGGCCCACCAGGTGTTTTGAACATCAACTCCCACAATTCCTAACAGTCTCAGTCCTTTCCTTTCCCTTCTCGGCCACTTAAGCAACTGAGGGGGGAAAGGAAAGGGCCTGAGGCTGTTAGAAATTGTGGAAGTTAAAGTCCAAAGCACCTGAAGGGCCCAAGTTTGCCCATGTGTGGTCTACACCCAAGTGCAATTTTGATAGAAGACTAAAATACCGTACTTATGTTGCTTATTTTTAATAAATGGTTGCATTTAATAATTCATTTCTGTATTTTAAAATCAATGTCAATTTAGGTGCAGCAGTTGTCTAAATCCTCAAGAAACTGGGAAAAAATGACTTCATGAAGATTACCCAAGTTGTTGATGCACTATGTATATGATTTTTGTGTATAAATCATCTCATGGAGATTTTGTGCAATATGACATTTTACCTTAATAAAAAGGAAGAATTATCTTTCTAGAATTAGATGTCTATTTAAGAAGTCTTTATGAATGAATGTAACATAAATGGGTCTAAAATACATATTTTCTATGAAACAAATGTTTTTATACTACATTTTCTGTTTATTCAGAGATGGTTGTAACTGTGGTAGTTTTGGGTGGTACAAGAACCCATTTATCAACAATCGGAAAAACAACAAAAAAGGCAATATGTAAATGCACACCTATCAATATGCTTGTTTCATTCAGCCGTTATCTCACTGAGGCTGCTGTATCATTAAAATGTCAATGAATCCCTTTTCAATGAATCCCTCTTCGTGCTTACAGAAATTGGGTAAACCCATGTCCAAAGAGGAAAGCATAGTAGACCAATTTCATTGCGCTGTCTCTCACCCAGGGAGTGACAATCTGAACAGAACAGTTTTGCTATGTTTGGAGTCTCACCATGATACCATAAAGTCCTTTTTATTAAAAAAAAACACCCACATTCTTTCCAATCATATACAGTGCCTTGCGTGGAATGGAAACTTTGTTCCTCTGAGAATAATGAAACTGGGGACAGAACTGGCATGCTTCCTTCTTCATATGTTGATACAACATGCTTTCTAAACTTCCAAATAAGGCATCATAAGGCATCTGGACCTTGAGCAAAATTTATTTGGGGTTGCCTTGTCCATAAAATTTTATTTGTGTGTTAAGATCAAACATAAATGGACTGTTCTGGGGTCCTCTACTGTGGAAATTAGGCAGGGCCTTTCAGTCGTGGCTCCACAGAGAGGGAATGTCCACTCCATGCCGATTTCCTTGGTGCTCTCACTGTTATCTTTCAGGAGCTTAGCAGAGGTTTTTTTTTTATTTTCTTCTGCTTTTAATAAAACTGAAATTTAATATTTGTTTTATTCTTTAATGCTGTTGGTGCTACTGCTTTAAGCAAGTATACGCTCAACTTGTTTTGTAGTTTTGAGATTGAATTAAATTCATTTCTCATTAATTATCCAATGTATTAACAGACTAAAGTATTAATATTGGTGAGAAATTGATTTAATTGAAAGGAACGAGATTTGCTTTGAAGTAATTGTTCAGAACTAGTGTTGCAGGCCAGGGTTCGATTGCCTACTCAGTCATGGTGACCCTGGTCATTCACACTTTCTCAAAGGAAGGCAATGGCAAGCTTCCACTGAGTAAACAGTACCAATAAAATTTGGTGACTTGAAGAAATTTACCAATAAGTAGTCAACCTGAACTGTCTGTGTGTATTTACCTGCGTAACCAGATGGTCTGAATGCTATTTCAGTCCACTGGCAAAAAAGCTCACCTCTGAGTCTGAATGAGTGACCTCTTTTATTGTGATTGGCAGATATATCTGTTCAATGTAAGTTATCAAACATACTGGGGATGTTTTACATAGATTGCAGCCGTGCTAAAAGATGTCTGGATTGGAGGCATGACATTTAAAGGGTTAGGTGATGGTATTGGGCTTCCACTGTGTTCTATAATGATATGGGTTTTTCTCTTTGAATACGGAATGAACATTTTATCCCAGTTCTCTATGTCTGCATATCAATTCCTCCAGGAGTAGTAACTGAATGTTTGTCCTTTCCCTATCCCATGCATTTACCCCATAAGTAAGCAGTTTAGAGTTTACTTGTGTGGAGGCACCCTGATTTTCAAACAATGAGTCTCCATGGTAAGGGAAGGCTCTCTTCCTCAGAAAGTCACCTTCCTCCTCATCACAGATGTTATCATCATCATCATAGGTGATCCTTGTGGCCCAGTATGATTGTCTTCCAGAAGTAGAGTCTCTAGTAGTAGTAGTAGTAGTAGTAGTAGTAGTAGTTTTATTGATTAGCCCTTAGGCCATATCATAATACCAAACCAAACAACAAGGCTTGATAAGACTTGATTGCACTCTACAGAGTCCCTAGTAACTGTAAATACCTATTCTGGATCAACATGGTCTATCAAAAAGAGAATATCAATTTCCAGATGAAAGGCAGTCCCGACAAGGGTTTGCTTGACATGCCTTCCTCTCGGTACATTTCTCTCTTTTGTCGTCTATTTGTGCCTCTTCACTCTTGGTAACATCCAACCTCCAGTTAGAGCACTCAAGGGATAGGCCTTTCCAGTTCTCTGTTTATGGAATGTTTTTTAAGGTTGAAGATTTAATCTATCTAGTATTATAATGACTACATATGAGCACAGTGATACTGCTGTTCTAACAAAACAATATCCATCCTATGTTAATGCCTTCCACAAGTCTCTCCTTCCATGGGCAGAAGCCAGCTGAGGAGCAGGCCCCATGCTAAGCATAGTTTTGTTCTCCATCACCTCATTGCCCGTCCCCTGCCACTGAGGCACTGGAAAGCACTGCAAAAAATACTGGAGGTCTTTGGGGAAAATACACCTTGATTTTATGGAGCTGTAGTTCACCTACATCCAGAGAACACTGTGGCCCCAGACACTGATGGATCTGGACTAAACTAGGCACACATACCTGATACATTGAAATTTGATACTGGAGGGCTTTGGGGAGAAATGGCCTTCCTTTCTGGGAGTTGTAGTGCATCCACAACCAGAGAAACTGTGACCCCCACCAATGATAGACCAGTGACCTCATCATGCTAGAGAATGAATCTACTTTAAATCTGATTGCTGCTTCCTATAGTTTAGAGGGGCTGTTAAAGGCTACTCCCTAAACTACAAACCCCAGAATCCTGCAGAAAGCAGAAACTGGATGTAAAGTGGATCCATTCGCTAGTGTAATGAAGTACCTAGACTAAACTTGGCCCACAGAACCCCCATGACCAACTGTAGCGGTTTGGGGGATTGACACTATAGTGGGAGTTATAGTTTATCCCGCAGCCAGAGAGTACATTGAACCCCACCAAAGATGCATCTAGAGCAAACTTGTCCAACATAACACACCTTAAGTACTGATGAAGTTTCTGGGGGGGGGGGGGGGGTGTTTGTGTCAGGAACTATTTGAGAAACTCCAAGTCTCTTCTGTATGAGAATGTAAGAGAATTGGCCCTCTGCAAGGACTTTGCTCAGGTGACGCCTGGATGTTTGAAGTTTTACTATCCTTGTGGGAGTCTGCCCTCGTCCCTACATGGGGAGCGGGAGCTGACAGAAGGAGCTCAACCCGCTCGCTCCGGATTCGAACCTGTTGGTCAGGAGTCCTGCCGGCACAAGGGTTTAACCCATTGCGCCACCGGGGCTTGATGTCAGTTGTGCTTAATCCACAACCGTATGCTTCAGCATTTGCAAGGCTTGCTAATCAGACGGTTTTCTCTTTTTTCTGAAGTACAGCTAAAGCATTTTCTGCAGAGCCCACTGGAATCACTGCAGGTCGTTGTGGAAACGGGTGGCCTTCAGAAACCGGTAACTGCTGCCAAAAGTTGGGATCACGGTACAGTTGGCAACAGCAGAAAGGGAACGCCTTTGGGGTCGGGACCCAGAGTTTCCGAAGCGGTGCCCAGGACACCAAGGGCGTGGAGAGCGCTTCCCAAGGCCCCTTGTGCTTGGCCCGGCCTCCCTGCTCCAGGATGCTTGGCAGGGAAACGGGGAGGAGGCCCCCCGGGGGGCCACGCGGAGTCTCCCCTTCTCCCTGCTCGGCAAGGCAATGGGGAGGGGCGGAGCCGCCTCGTCGTCCAATGAGGGCCGAGCGTCAGGCTCAGGCAAGGTTGCCCTGCGCCTCTCCGGCTGAGTCCGCGCTGGCAGATGAGCCACACGCCCCGCAGCCCCGCAGAGTGGAAGAGGAGGAGAGCCAAGGGCGGCTGGAGGACTGCGCTCGCCGCCCACCTGCGGGGTTTGTAAGCCTCCAGGGACACCAGGGAGGGGGGCGTCCACGCTGTAGCACCCGTGCACTTTGGCACCACTTCATGCTGGGGAATCTTGGGAGCTGTAGCTTTGCAAGGTCTGTAGCCCGCGCTGTTGCCCTCCCCAAGGACAAGCCCCTCATTCTCTAGTCCAGAGCCCTGGCAGTTAAAGTGGAATGAATGCCAAGCTGCATTCGTTCCACAGTGGAGATGCAGCCCAGGAGGAGGAGGAGGATGGGGCACCTTGTACAGGAGCCACTCTGGCCAGGGGCCACCCAGTGACTGCAAAATCTGGCAAGTCACCTTGTTTCCACTCCAGTGGGTTTGCTAGCAGAGGGCCCCGCCACACAGCCCTATATCCCAGAATGTCAAGGCAGAAAATCCCACAATATCTGCTTTGGATTGGCTTATCTGAGTCCACACTCAGATAATGTGGGATTTTCTGCCTTGATATTCTGGGATATAGGGCTGTGTGGAAGGGCCCTGGGTTGGTCTGCTATAATAACTCATCCAAATCCTGTCTGGTGATGCTTGACATCAGAAGGAGTAAAGAATGTCTCCACAGAAGCCTCACAGGTGCAACCAATCGTTTGGGTGCATCTACACCACACCTGGGCAAACTCCAGCCCTCCAGGTATTTTGGACTTCAACTCCCACAATTCCTGGCCTCAGGCCACTTCCATTTCCCCTTCAGTTGCTTAAGTTGGTGTTTTGGACTTCAACTCCCACAATTCCTGGCCTCAGCCCATTCCCCCCAGTTGCTTAAGTTGGTGTTTTGGACTTCAGCGCTCACAATTCCTGGCCTCAGGCCCCTTCCATTTCCCCCTCAGTTGCTTAATCTGATGTTTTGGACTTCAGCTCCCACATTTCCTGGACCCAGGCCCCTTCTATTTCCCCCTCAGCTTCTTAAACTCCTAGGAGGAGTGGGATTGCAACTGGGAGGTATGCTTACTATGGGTTGTTCTACACAGGTACAAGGCTGTAGAATGCTGGGGCTTATAACTTCTCTTCCACCACTCTTCAGCAAATTTTGGCCCTCCAACTGTTTTGGACTTCAACTTCCACAATTTCTCGCCCCAGGCCCCCTCCTTTCCCCCCTCAATCACTTAAGTGGCTGAAGGGGGAAAGAAAAAGGCCTGAGACCAGGAATTGTGGGAGTTGAAGTCCAAACACCTGGAGGGCCAAAGTTTGCCCATGCCTGATCTACACTGTAGAAACAGCGCATCTTTGGCACCACATGACCTGCCATGTCTTAATGCTATGGAATCGTCGTTTTGTAAGGTGGTGGCAGAGAAGTTACAAACCTCATTCTATAGCCTTGAGCCAGTGTAGAACTACCTATAGTAAGCATATCTCCCAGTTGCAATCCCATTCCCACCTAGGAGCAGCACAGAACAAATGCTATTCAACTCATTTACTCTTTGAGTCAATATATTTAGGATAAAAGAGCCTGGTTGTGGTCTAGTTGTGATCAGATGAAGCGCACAAAGTGTCTGCAAAAGTCCTCCCAGAAAAATCTGCTACAAGACTCACCAGTCCTTTTCACATGGTTCCTTGTTACTCCTTGCCCCCCATTTCCCTCTGACCCTTTCCTGTAAATACAGAGGCCTGATAAATGGGGGATGGCCAGGAAATGGTTAATGTTTTGCCAGAGGAATCTGAAGCAGTGAACATGAAACCACTTGCTGTGCCCTCTTTTTTGCTGGGGGATGGAAATATGTGTGTCAATGTGTATTTAAGCTCTGCATTTAAAGGACTTGTGCTGTACGGTAAGGGCTTTTTTCTTCCACTTACTTAAAAAAGGCAGGGGATATTGAAAAGTAGCAAACAGAAAGAAAGAAAAGAAAGAACAATTCTTATTGTTGTTACTAGTAAACTTTATTTAATCCCTACTCCCCTGTTCCCAAGAATGAGGACTTGGTTGCAATTGGGATCTTTGCCTTCTCTTTCCCCCTCTATTTCAATACTTTCACCCCAAAGTGTGAAAAACAAAAGTCTTGAATGAGGAAAACTTTAGAACATGTGCGCTCGTAATGAATGAAGAGTGTATGAGTGTTTCATATAATTCCCTTATACTTCACTTGTCTTCAACAGGCAACAAAGGGGCTAATCCCATCTGGTAGTTTGTTGACTGAGGCAAGCCTGCTGGGAACAAGCAAGGAGTAAGTGGAAGAGTTCCCTGCCTCCACCGGCTCCTCCTCTGATACAGGCTTTACTGTGTCAGCAGCTTAGCCTGTTGGCTTTAAAGGATGCCGGGTAAGTAGATTCCTTCCTCTTCCTTCCTCTTGTTCCTCCTTCTGTTCTTTGTTTTCTGATTCTCTTTTTAGGGCAGTGATTTTAGTTTTTATGCACTTCCATTCATGAAACAAATATTGAGTATAATTCCCTAAGAAAAAGGAAGAGATGCAGTCATGTAAGAGGATTATTTAAAGCATTTTAACCCTTTGTGCCAGGCTGCCCTAATGACAAAATAATTGGAAAACACGAACAGAAGTGGTTAGATGTTCACATTTCTGGGTACTGTCAGAAGCTTTTGTTTTGTTTTCAGAGTGTGTGTTAGTTATTTTACTCATTGGATATTTCTGGAGAACTCTGTGGGAAATGCAGTTTACCATTCTAGGTGATTCTGGAGTTTTAGGGGTTTTGGAAGCCTGCAAAACAGTCCCCGGAGGAGTTGTGTGCAGTCCACAGGCTGCTTTCCCTGTTAAATTTAAACAAATGACAAGTGGTTAATATCCATTTGTCAGTCCTCACTAGAGTACACACTTTATATCAATTGCTAAATAATAATGAGCACTTACGTTGATCTAATCTGATTCATTGGGTCTATTAATTTGGACTAAGAATTGGATTTAAGGTTTTGCATACAAAAATACCAACAGAAGAAACCTATAATACTTTTGAAACTAATATTATGTGTGTTGTTGAAGGCTTTCATGGCCAGAATCACTGGATTGCTGTCAGTTTCTGGGCTATACAGCCATGTTCCAGAAGCATTCTCTCCTGACATTTCATCCATATCTATGGCAGGCATTCTCAGAGGTTGAGGGGCCTGTTGGAGACTAGGCAAGTGAGGTTTATATATCTGTGAAATGTTCAGGGTGGGAGAAAGAACTCTTATCTGCCCAGTAAATAAAGAGCAGCACTCAAAAGCAGGAAAATTCCAGACAAGAATCAATCTGGGCCAGCTACAACTTCCCAATAAAGGATTCCCCCAGGCAGCAACCAGCCAGGGTTTGAAGCTGCAAGGCAATTAAATGCTAATCAAGGTGGCCAATTGCAACAGTCACGCCTGCCTCAAGCAGACAAGAATTCTTTCTCCCACCCTGAACATCCCAAAGATATAAGGAGAGAATACTTCTGGAACATGGTCATAAAACCTGGAAAACTCACAGCAGCCCAGTCATATTATGTGCTTTCAAGTACCGTAGTTCCTGACTTATGGCAATTTATGGGTGTTTTTTTTTAAATGGGAATTTACTATTGCCCGAGGTTGAAAGAACCTGTGGGTTATTCACCCTGTGGGTTTCTTGTGAATTTGTACCCTGATCTGAAAGAATTGTAGTCCCACATGCAAACCACTAAACAATATTGGCTCAGATTCAATGATAATACATCTATAACTTAAACAGTTGTTACATATAGACCAATTCATCAGATACATTCTGTAGGATTTCAGGCACATATACTCTCTCCCTCTCCCTCTCCCTCTCCCTCTCCCTCTCCCTCTCCCTCTCCCTCTCCCTCTCCCTCTCCCTCTCCCTCTCCCTCTCCCTCTCCCTCTCCCTCTCCCTCTCCCTCTCCCTCTCCCTCTCCCTCTCCCTCTCCCTCTCCCTCTCTGTGTGTGTATATATATATCTGTAGAGATGGAGAACATATAGTAAGAAATAGAATTGCTACTTGTGAGGTCCAGGGTGAATGAAATGTGTCTGTCTTCACTGTCGACATTAGCTATGATCTAGGTAGAGGTGGGCCAACTGTGCCTCCTCAAGGCTGTTTGTGGCCTTTGATCTCTTCCCACTCTTCCTTTTTGATTAAAGGAAAGAAAGAGATGAAGAGAGATAACACTGTTTTTCACATATTAAGTAGGTTGCAGCCCCTTCCTTCATTTTGATTTCAAAAGTATCTACATGTCCAAACTGGAAAATGACTTGGTGGTTTTCTGTTTGTTGCTTCGGGGATGAATTTTGGGAAGACTGAGTCTTTAGAGTCTTGGAGCAGGAAATTGGCTGCTTGATCTACCATCTGTCACAGTCTACCTCTGAACGAGATGATTCTCCATTGTTTTGGTGGATTTTCCCAGTCATTCCTAGCACAAGGATAATTCAGAACTGGCAGACTACAGAACTGTCTGTAATGAAGTAATTCCCCTGTATAATTGTTAAGTGTTGTTTGATGAGCAGCACATCTGCTTTCAAAAATAAACATCCCTTTATCATAGTGAAAAACTCTTTGTCGAGGCAGAAAGAAAATTGTATGTTTTGCTTTGGTTCCTGATTTTAAGGTTTAACACCCACTTGTTTTCAAGGAGCAATTCATGCTAAACAAAATAGATTTAATGGTTCTTGATTTTTCCCTTCACATTATTTACTTTTATAGTCATCACCAGATTGCAGTGTATGGGATGCTTTCCACTTTTTACAGCTCTGCACAGTGATTGGGATGAAGGAAATGTAACCAGATCAGCATTAGGAAACTATATTACAAGAGTGGCGTAACAATATGATTATGCTGAAATGAAGACAAGTATAGATTATTGTTTGTACATTATTGAATGATGACCTCTGGTTTCTGAACTGCAGTTCTTGTGAGCCATAGCCAACACAGCCAATAGTAAGAAATCTTGGGATTTGCAATCTGCACAATTCCCCTTTCTGCCCTGCTTTATGCATTCTTCTGCCATTGCCCTTAACCTCTCACATCTGCATGGCAAGATGTATTTCCCCATATCTTCTCTCAGTGGCTTCAATCATGGCATCTAGGAGCTGGGCAAACTAATAAGACTCAATGGAAGATAGATCCAGAAATGATGGAAAAGCACCTAGCTACTGGTTTGTGGACTATAACAGCTAAATAAATAATTATCTGTATTTGTCTACATTTCTGTGAAATAATATTGTTGCACCAATTTTGTAATAGTATTTTCACATGCTGCTCTGGCTACATTTCCTTTATTGCATTTACTGTTGGGTGCTTTTTAAAAAAGAAGTAACTTTTCAGCTCTCAACAGACTGTGTTTGCCCAGATAAGCTTGTTGTTAAAAGAGGGAGGGATGGAAAATGGGGCACAGGCACTGCAGTGACTCTGCCTTGCCAGATCTCAAAGAGCTGGCAAGGTAGCTTTTTCTCTTGACAGAGATAGCTTTTGTTGCTGGCACCCTCTTTTGCTGTTGCTACATCTTAGACATATTATTTCTTTATTTACTTACTTGATTTATATACTGCTTTTCTCCCCAAGAAGACTGAAAGTGGTTTCCAGTAAATTCATGGCAAAAATTCAATGCCTTACAACATATTAAAAAAACCTAGTATAAAAGCAATTGTAACATATAACTATAAATTAAATTAAACCATGTTAAATAGAGAAACAACAACATCTAGACATTTAAACATGGAATTATAACATATTAATATAAATATTAAAATCACAAATCCAGAAGCCGAAGTCCGAGGCCTTTCCAAGAGTCAATTGTATATAATCCTGTACATTTTTGCATTGCTTATTGCCCAAAGGTTTGGTCCCACACCCATGTCTTTACTTTCTTTCTGAAGACCAAAAGGGAGGGCGCTGATCTAATTTCGGTAGGGAGGGAATTCCACATGTGAGCAGTCACCACGGAGAAGGCTGTGTCTCTCATCCCCACCAACAGAAACCAGACTTTGACTGATGTAAAGCCGCCAGCAGGATTTCAACCATGGGCTTCATATTTTTTATCACAGTAAGCCCACCAGAATTGTCTTAAGAAATCATAAGAGGGTGTGTGTTGCTCCATCCAATTGTGTGAGACACATGCTGTGTGAGTAAATATGGCAGGTCTGTTGCTTCGCTTTTTATAATTGTCAGAATTGATTGCCACTGTGTGATGTTAATCATGATATTAAGCTGGCTTCAGTATTTGAAAAACCTAGAAACATGGGTTGTAGTCTGAAAGAGAAAATAAATGGAGAATTAAAAAAAAAAAAAGCCCCAAGGAAGCTTAGCAATAAAAATGCCAGTCTCAAAAAGTTTTAAACTTCATGTCCTGCCCTTCAGCAGAAGCTCTTGGGGCAAGGCAGGCCGAGATAATATTGCCTCTGAATACTGCAGGTGAGCATCCCTGTCATGGAAGATCTGCAATTCCTTTATAGTAGTAGATTTTTATTATGGTCAATGACCAGCACCAAAAAAATGTACAAACATCAGAATAAAAACATATACATCTAGGCATCAATAACAACAACAATAACAACTTTATTTTTATATCCTTCCTCCATCTCCCTGAAAAGACTTAGGGCGACTTGCAAAGGGACAAACCCAGAGAGCACGGTTAGAAAGAAACAATGTCAAAAGCAAAGTTAAAACCCAGCATTGAATATGATAGTTAAAATGGTATTAAACATTTATATGCTTAAATGACAATGTTAAAAACTGAAATAAATATTTAAAAACCTTCTAAGAGTGTGACACCGTCTTGCGCCAACAAGCTGTTGCTGCTGCACAAAATCTAGGAACTTTAGCAGTAATTTTGGGATGTTGGTCAGCCAAAAGATAATCAACATAAAACCTTATAGTATACTATGCCCCCCCCCCCCCCCCGGGCTACCAGTCTTAAACCCTGCCTCTATCCCCAAGAAGTAATGAATTTAGCGGGCCTTGGAGATTAGCAGTCCTTTTTCTCTTCTTCTTTTCTCTGGTAAGCAGAGATAGAAAGTAATTCATCAGAAGAAGCACCACTACTAGTTATACATTGTTTTCACTAAGGAAGAACATAATGTTGTTTGGCTATATTGTATACACATCAGCATTGTTTTTGAGCTCCTCACCCAGTAATGCATGTTACATATTACTCCAAGAAAGGAGGAAAGTTTATGTTCTTAATTTATGAAGAAATAATGAGTAAACTTTCTAGATTAGTAAGGATCCTATATCCCAGAATAGTCCCAAGACTTTGTCCCATCTCACACAAGCTCAGTTGTGTTGGAGGAACTGTCTCTGATACAAGTGAACACTGGATATATTAGTGCAATACACTGTGACTTTTTTCTTCACCCTCATATTTGGAAACAAGGCTTCTAATTGTGCTACATGGTAAACTACATTTAAACATGAGCAGAGCTACCTTGGATCCCCTACTAAATATGGAGACTATTGAAACTGAGGAGGAAGAGCCTAGTTCACTAGGGGATTTGGGAAGTTAAGTCAGAGTAGTCATCGTTACACCTATTTTGATCTCTGATGTTTGTTATTTGAAGAGAGCTGTTGTTCAATACCTATTCAGTGTGTATGAGTGAGACTGTGACTAGGTGCCAACCCCAATATTTTTTGGGGTTTCAGGGTTTTGAAAATTGAGGGGTGCATAAGATGGCACATTAGACTCGAGTAAATACGGGTATTTGCCTTAACACATATGCAGGCCTGTTTACCCAGTATGATTGCCTTTCTTTCAATGACAATTAATTGCTTGGATGGACCAATATGCTCATTGTACATCAGGAGATAAACAGAAAGTAAGAGGTTGCTCTAGTATTGATTCACACAAGACTATGTGTGAGGATGGAACTAGATGTTTCAGAATATTCATGTTTGTTGTTAAAAACAGCATCACCTACCACCACCTTACCATATATTCTTTCACAACGAAGTGTGTGACATGATGTTATATCATTTTAGGAGCCAACAGAATGCATCCAGCGCTCTCTCTCTCTCTCTCTCTCTCTCTCTATATATATATATATATATAACATCAATTTCCGAAGAGTTTTGGGTAGCAAAACAGCTTATTGTAGCTTGCTATGCATGCACAGAAATCACAGCTGTTTAGTGGGATAAGATAAGGCAAGTGTCTCATCAGTTCTCTTGTACTTCACTAAGTGACCATTGTGAACACTTGTTTATAGTGACAGACCAGGCCTTTGTGACCCTTGCCACTAATGATGCTTATTGCCATGGTGCTTTGGTTCTTGGACAATCCTTGAGGAACCACAAAACAACTAGAATGCTGGCAATACTAATTACTCCTCAGGTCTCCGGTGCAATGAGGTAAGGCTGCATTCCCAGATGCAATTAGCATTGTAATTATAAAATTGAAATGTTGTGCAACCACCTAATTACAAAATAACAATAAGCAAACACTGTGTTGACTGTGTGCCTCAGTTCCCAGCTGGATAGTGCAATTAAAGCTACATGTAGGTTAACATGCAGACAAGATGGTTGGCTTGTGTTCCAGGATTGTTTCAATGTCCTAAAAAGCACAATTTCATATGAGGTGCTTTATTTTAGCCACTTCAGGTACAGAACTAAGCAGAGACTATAATGTATTTTTGTGTATAAGTTGACTTCATGTGTAAGTTAAGGGCAAGTTTTATGACCAATATTATGGGTTTTGTTATGACCTGTGGATAAGCCAAGAATCATTCTTCATATTGGCGAAAGTGCCAGTACTGCCTCAAAGGGCCAGCTGTCCTTGGGTGCTGCCAGTTCCTATCCAGACATTAAAAAAGGCCTTTTGCCACTCTGCTCAGGCAAGAGGTTAGTTCCTTTTTTGATAAAATGTAAGGTAAAGTACTTATATTGGTGCATGGATAAGTCAACCCAGACTTTTTGGGCCACTTTTTAAATTAACATTTCTAGACTTATACACAAGTATATGTGTTATGAGTATAATACATTTCAGTAGCTGTATGTGGAGTAGGGACTTGCTTAAAGATGTTGAGGTCTATAGCCATGCTAATTCCAAATTCATATTTTAACATATAATTATAAATAGTATTTTTCCTCCAATATGTATGTATAATTATCTTTAGTGATATTTCTTCCCTGCTCCCATCCAATTCTCTTATTTCGTACAGTTTATTAATCCCATACATAAGTAAATTATAAGGAAAGGCTGGAATATTTGTTCCAGTTAATAAAAAGACAGCCAGGGAAGCCATTTAAAATTCTGCATCATATTGAGACAGTTGATACGGAGAACTTTTTTTGTCCACTCTCATAAAATGATGGACCTTTCCTGGATGAAAGAGATTGGCAGTAGGCTTTGAACATATAAATGGAATAATTTACTTTGCACAGTGAATAATTATAACTATGATTCCATGTACGTATATCTGAGAGTATGATAGCTGAAATTAGTGAGTTTTCCTATGGAGTAAACATGTCTTACAATTGCAATGTAAGAAGTCAAATTCAATAGGTATAAATAGTGCCAGAAAAATGACTATAATAGTTATTAGATGATGGAGAATCAGTCTGATGAGAGCAATTAGCCATAGCAGCTTCAAACACATGAACAAATCTCCAGCATCATTTGCTATTGAAATGTGGAATATTCAGATTGGAGGTGCTCTACAATCTTTGATTCTGTGAAAGGCTTGGCTTGTTTACCCAGCAGTTTGCTTCTATCAACAGACATTGTTTAAGGTTTTTAAGACTGTATATTTGTGTTTCTATTTTTCCATTGTGATTTGGTCTCTTCCTCCCCTCCCAAATTTTCCATAATTGTTCCGAATTTCTCAATTATTTTAACATTAGAAACTCTTCCCTGCTTTTCTTGCAAATAGAAGTCATAAGGATCTCAATCTTGTCTTTTACTTGTTTTGTCAGGACTTCCCTCTGCACCATATTTGACTCAGTGGTTGACGTGAATGAAATTGACAGCAATGACGTGGTGCACTTGGCTCTGCTGAAGAGGCTGGAACTGGGTGTAACCTTTACCAAACTACATTGCTGGACTCTTACTCAGTATAGCAAATGTGTCTTCATGGATGCAGACACATTGGTAAGGGCCGCAGTGTCCTAAATGCTTGCCATATTCCTTGAATTTATACATGACAAATCCCTATACAGTCCCCGAGTTACAAACATCTGCTTACAAATAACTCTTAGTTAAGAATGAGGGTGAGACAACATTAAGTGAGAGAAATCTATCCCTCAGAAGGAAAATTCATTCCTAAAAGAGTTATCATGGGGAAGAGGTGTCTCAACTGGAGCCTTGTCACCAATCCTTGTTTCCACAAGAAGCCAATTTTTTCAAAATCCAATCATCACAGTGACAGAAAGTGAAGTGAAATCGGCTGAACAGGAGCACAGGCAACAAAACAAACACCACAGAGGTGTTAGCCCTTACCTATGCCATCTATAGGAGTTACACTTACAAAATGTATCTTTTCCGATTTGCATACAAATTCAGCTTTAGGACAAACCTACAGAAGCTGTGTTGTTCATAACTTAGGGACTGCCTGGATCCTGAAGTAGCTTATAGAACTCTGTAAGGCAGTGGTTCTCAACCTGTGAGTCCCTGGGTGTTTTGCCCTACAACTGCCAAAAATCCCAGCCAGTTTACCAGCTGTTAGGATTTCTGGGAGTTAAAGGCAAAAACATCTGGGGACCCACAAGTTGAGAACCATTGCTGTAGGGCAATATAGGTCCAAAATAGTTCTTTTGTTCTCTAATATTTATATTTATTCATCTGGTTTAAACCAGTTGTCTTTTGAGATGCAAGATTATTAAGATCATTACAGATGCAAATCAGTATGCTAAATGACATTCTGATTTACTGGCTAGACCATTAATCTATGAAATTCAATGTTACTGAAGTGGATAATCAAATCCGTTTTTGGTAAAGCAGTGGTTCCTAAATTTTGTTCCTCTAGCAGTCTTGGACTTCAGCTCTTAGAAGCCCTAGCCAGATTGGCCAACAGTTGGGAATTCTGGGAGGTGACTGCCTGAAAGACCAATGTTTCAGAAAGACTGTGCTAAAGAAATAGTTCTGAGCAGAAAACCTGATAAAAATAAGAACTTTCTATAACAGCTTTGCATGTTTTCTGAAATATTTCACCCAAATATAGAACACATGTATTTACTATATTGGTGTTTGTGATTGTTTTCCTCATTACTTCCCCCCCCCCCCCCAATGCACTTCTTTTTAAAAATATTTGGACATTTGGCTCTTGTTTTGGAAATAATTTCCCCTGAACTTTTTCCACATGGAGGACTGCATGGTTACAATATACCTCTTGTGTTCTTACATTTTTTGCTAAGTTCTGTTAACTTTATACATCTGAAGAAGCCCCATTATGTCTTCTACCTTCTCCACCTTTTTGAGCTTGACTGAAAGGAGGGATCCTTGGCCAAAGGGCTCAGAAATTTCATGTTGGACAGATTTGGGTTTGTTGGGAAATACATAGCCTATCAGCATTTATTCATTCAAGCTCAAAAAGCTTAGAGAAGGCAATGATGCTGGGGAAAATGGAAGGAAAAAGGAAGAGGGGTTGACCAAGAGCAAGAAGAATGGATGGAATTCTTGAAGTGACTGGCTTGACCTTGAATGAGCTGTGAGTGGTGATGGCTGACTGGGGAGCTCTGGTGTGGGCTGGTCCATGAGGTCATGAAGAGTCGGAAGTGACTGAATGAATGAACAACAATCAGCATTATTTTCATTGGGTTTTCTTGGGTTCTTTCACACTACACACTTCTATGATTTTACATCTACAGCCATGGCAAAGAGGAATCATGGAGTTGTGTGTTTTCAGTGTGAAACACCCTTTATGAAGGATTCAGTGGTAGAAAAAGTAATCTTTCTCCCTTTCAAAAATCTCACATTGCCATTAGTGGATATTTGTTTGTTGTTGTGAAATTTGTACTGAAGTTATTTAGGTTCAAGCAACATTCTCTGATGCCTACAAGAACATATGCATATGAATAGTATCTGGACACATTATCTCTTCCTCATTTCCTATGATAGTAGCAGGCAGTATGGTAACTTAGAGTGCAGAATGTTCTGTTATGCATCTGAGATGGAAAGGAATGGATACTCAATAATCCTGCAAGATGGATAAAATGTATCGCATAGTCCCACATATGAAAATATATCACCCTGTTTGTACTGATTATGGCATTAGGAGAATGGTGAGCATTATGGGGCCATATAGTGAGTTGTGTTAATGACAAACAGTGGCTCTTTGAAGTTTGAATGGTAGACCATCTTGGGTAATTCAGCCTTCATGTATCCTAGGTACTATGCAATATTGATGAGCTCTTTGATCGAGAAGAATTTTCAGCAGCTCCAGATTCTGGCTGGCCAGATTGTTTCAACAGTGGTGTCTTTGTTTTCCAACCTTCCTTAAAAACCTTTAACCTCCTCCTGCAGTATGCAAGTGAACACGGGAGCTTTGATGGTAAGCTAACTGAGTTTCTTATTTGTATTGATTCTTCAGAGGAGGTGAACTTTTTTTTAAAAAAAAACCCAAGTTATACAACACAAATATGAATTTGAAAACCAATTACTAAAAACTAACAATTGTAGTTGCAAGAAATAATTAACAACAACAACAACAACAACTTATTATTTTTATCCCGCCACCATCTCCCCAAAGGAACTCGGGGCAGCTTACAAGCAGAACCAAGCTCAGCAACAGCAGAGTTAATACATTTAAAGACATTTAAAGTATTTCATGTTGAAAGATCCTGGAAAAAAGACAGTAAATAAACATTTTCCACAAATGAACCTGATCTGAGTCATATTCATCTGGTTTTCTCATATCTGCTATTAAATCATGTTTCATTTTTATTGGTTTCTAGATTCCAATCTTAATTTCTTGTTCCTGTTTTTGGTTGAAGCTTATTTGGAACAAGTAATTGACTTTATATGAACTGCTTTAATTATTTTCTAATATGCCAGTTTTTGCTGTGTTGTTTATCCTCAAAGAAACACTTTTTAATATAATCTATTTAGTATGCAATGAAAACATTTGAATTATTTAAAAAAGATAAATGATATGCAGTATAATTATGCTAGTGCAGCTAAGTAAAAGACTAGGGCCATAACGCAGTTGTTGCTCTCATATAGCGTAGACCAGGGGTAGGGAACCTTTGGCCCTCCAGCTGTGGTGGACTTCAACTCCCACAATTCCTTGAGGCTCGGCATTGGGCCAAGGTAAGCCTTTGGGGCGAATGCCGAGCCTCAAGGAATTGTGGGAGTTGAAGTCCACCACAGCTGGAGGGCCAAAGGTTCCCTACCCCTGGCGTAGACTCATAAATCAATTTCAGAATTGAAAGTGAACACTTATTAAATTCCACTGATCTGTTCCAGTTGAGACTAACATTTGGATTTATGTAAAATAATGGGGTAAAAAATGTAGAGTGGCTTGCTGTGCTTTTTATAAACCACTGGATGGGGCTGCTGGCCATATTTAAATAAAAACAAAATGTATATGCCAAACTACTAGGCCAATGTTGAACTTTGGAAGACACCTAGTTACGTGTCTTCCAAGGTTCAACATTGGAACTTTCACATGTGCATCTATTGTTTTAGCCAGCATGAAATATACAGACATCAAAGGTCTGTTGTGAACTTAACAGTATATCTGTAAATAGTTACTTGCTAGTTCTGGCTAGCTTGGATATCATAAAAACAGCAAGACATACTTACTTATTGATTGAAATGCTTAGTATTCTACATATGTGCATATCTGTTTCTGAATCAGTGGAGAAATGACCTAAAGAGCATCAGTTGTCTTTTATCTAGTTTTGTGAAACTTGATGCTGTCTGCATTGGATCATGTTGGTAGATCCATTTGTTGATTCTACCTCTTTAAAATATTCTTTTTATTTTTTCAGGAGGTGATCAGGGGCTTTTAAACATGTTCTTTAGCAACTGGGCTACAAAAGACATAAGCAAACACTTGCCATTTATTTATAATCTAAGCAGCAGTGCTGTCTATAGCTATGCCCCGGCTTTTCAGCAGTAAGTATTTAAAATATAACATATTTGTATATTTGTGAACATTTGCAACAGTACAGTGCTCAAAACTTGGTGGTCCATTGTAGTATGGCCAAATAGGTTTCTCTGAACAGCAGAAGAAAGCACACCATATTCCTGTGGAACAATGTCAATCATTGCTAGTAATGTAAAACCAAGCTTAAGAGGTGTTTTTTTTAAATTTTAGAATTAAATTAATTTTAGAAATAAATTGATAATGTTTCAGAAGCAAACGTAACACAGAATACAAATGGGCAGTATAGTATGATCCCTGTGTGTGGGATAGGGATTGTGTTCTTGCACTTTGTGTGGATATGCAAAACCATGCATAATGGTGAGCTGTCATGAAATGAAGAACCTCATGAAATGAAGGACCTTCAATTGCAGTGAAATACCTAGCCTATGCCGAGAGAGGACATATTTTGTCAAATGTGGATAAATTAAACTCTGGATACAGGGTCTTTTTGAAATATGGTCAAAAAGAATCAGAGAAGAAATGTGGAATATGTGTAGTGAATCTGAAGAGCCCAGTCTTCCCATAACTGTTGAATGGTGATACGATGGGAGACTTGTTGAGAAGAGATGTTGGTAGACAGATAGAGAAATGAATGAGACTGAAATGTTTCTGATGCCATTTATGATCCACTGACAGCAAATTGGACTATTTTGCCTTGGTCCTAGCTGATGAAAGGTCATCTGTCCATCCCATTATAACCTCCTTTGAGAAGGAGACGAACAGGCAGGCAGAGCTCCATTTTGTATTGACCCCAGTAGCTGATTAAAGTCCCTTCCACCATTACAGATACCACCACTGTGGTCTCTTCAGGGAGAAAAGAGCAGCCAGAATCTTCTGGACTTCATCCCCCTTTCCTTGTCTTTTTAAAACTAATCCTGAGAAAGGGGAACTGTCAAATTAGCAATTTATAAGATGCTCTGTGAGATCTTTTGCCTGAAGGGCAAGTTATAAATACTTTAAATAAATAAATAGAATAAATATAATTTTCAGTGAAAGATCTGTCAGCATTGCCTGATAGTCCTCAAAGCCTCTCTGCACAATGGCTTTCTTCATTTTTAAAAGCTGATTCACTCCCCAGTATTTGAAGGAGAAGCAGGTGTTTCTTCCCTCCCTTTAAAAACATTGCTTCTTCATCCTCTTTCCCTCTTATAGAGGTGTGTGTGTGTGTGTGTGTGTGTGTGAAAGCAATTTGACTCATCACTAGTCAGAGGACCATGGGCCCTTTTTTCCAGGAAGAACATCATGGCAAAAGAAAGACCTATGTGGCCTCAGTCACTGGTTGAATAATGAGTCATTGCAGGGAGCTTGCTTTCACCATCCCTCACAGTAAGAACTTTGCTGTCACTGTTGCACAATGACAAAAAGTAGAAATGAAGGGTACTTTGGAAGGACCAAGGAAGCACAGTAGTAAATGAAGACCAGTCAAACCTGCAACTAAATATAAATGCTGTATTAAATGCAATATGAAATTATCACTTAGAGCTGTCAGAAAACAGATCGTTTTTACTCTTTTCTTTCCCATGCTTGTCTTATTTTTCTTAATTTGTAAGTCTGAACACCTGGCTTATTTTCACTCATGTGCAATGTCTGCAGTGGTATTCTGCTTTGAATTTTAATTGCTGTGAGACACTCATTTAATTTTTTTTATCTGTGAGTGAATGAATGGAATAAAATACAGGATTAGTTTCATGATGACATTGCAGAAACCTATTGCATTAGTATTTTAAAATGGTGCATAACAGAAACCTGTTGTTAAGACATTATTTTATGTGATCTTGCAGTTTTGGCCAAGATGCAAAAGTAGTCCATTTCTTAGGACCAGCAAAACCCTGGAATTACAAATACAATCCTCAGACAAGGACAGTTACAGAGGATGGTTCAGGCTCAGTATCTACAAGTCAGCTCTCATTCCTTGAACTGTGGTGGAAGATATACAGTTCTAGTATTTTACCACTGTTAAATGAAATGGAGAAGTCTTCTGAATCAAAACTCCAGAAAGGGGAGGTAAAATTATTTTTTGGAATAAGACTGCATTGTTCTTTTTGTTGCTGTTATTATTTGTCAAGTTTCTAGGTCAGCTAATTTCCTGGCCCAACACTGCCCTCTTCCAAGGTTATTGGGTAGCAGCTACTGCAAGTGATTGAGGTTGGTTTTCCCTTTGACTAGAATTCAGCAAACCGATGTTTCCACTCCCTTCTGTGAGTGATCTCTGGTGTGACAGTCAGAAAAAGAATCCTTGTCACATTTCTTGCTTGCATCAGAGATTGCTCATGGGAGGGGAGTAGAAATGTCACTCTGCTATATCCTGATTAACAGGAGAATAGACTCCCATTGCTTGCAGTGGCTGCTGGCCAGTAACCAAGATTGGCAGACTTTAGTAGTCCTTACATATTCCTTTCACTATTGATTTCACCTGGATCCTAGATATAAATCAGTTACAAATGTATACGCCTAGGTTAGCATTTGCAACTATGTTCATGAATTCCAGCTATTATTTCCTTTGATATACTTTTGGTAACTGTGTTACTCTGGATCATGTCCAATAGGACGTACATTTAAATGTGCACTTCCACCTTTCATATAGCAGGACGGCAATGCATCTGTAAAATACTAATTTTAAAGCATGGTCAGACTTTCATCTCTGAGTGGATCAGTATGTGGCTTCATTAAGTGCAACAACTGAACTATCACAATCATAATTTTTTTTGTTTAAAAGAAGCAGTGGAAAAGGAGTGTGAGGACCTGGTGAACAGTTCTAACATGTATTGTCCTAGGCTGACAAAGCCTTGATAGACCCTTGCCAGCAGAGGGAACATGAGATAAATGCTCTTTCCACTCCCTTTTTTTTCTCCCTGAGCATTTACTTTTTAAAAATTACTTAATGTGTTCCCTCCCAGAGGGAAAGAAGTAATCTAACCCCATGGTTATTCTGAACTTCTGGCTGGTTTGAAGGCATGTTGTGTGCATGTCTGAAAATGGGAGGGTCCACAGAGCAATTTTGATCAACAGCTTCTCCAAGATTACCCTCTGCACTTTTCAGGGTGTTTTCTTTCCCTTTTCTTATACATTGGAGTTCTTGAGTAAAGAGCTACAGAAGATTCAACTGAGTTTTTAAAATATCTACTATAAAAATAGTATCAGATTAGAGTAGTGGTTTGAGTATGGTAGTTTTGATCTGGATTTCTAGGGGATTAAGGTTTCAATCTTTGATCAGTCATGGAAACTAATGGGCAAGTCACACTCCCTCATCTTTCAAAGAAACAACAGCAAGCCCCCTCTAAGTAAATCTTCCTAAGAAAACTCCATAACAGGGTCACCATAAGTCAAAATTACTTGAAGTCGCCCAATAACAACAGCAACACCAAACATAGAAGATTTCACTGATAGAAGACGTCGGTGTTTCATTTCTATTGTTTGATTTTTTTAATCATAGGCTGATATCATTGAGGATGAAGATAAATGTGAAAGCGAAAATCCCAGCTTTAGCAATCCTTTGCCAATTTCAACACAGAAAGAGCAGGTGTCAGAAATGCTTGAAAGTTTACTGGATGAGTTATCTGTCAAAGATGTAAGTACTTTTGGGGCTGTTTCTGCTATTTATTCACAGTAATAAATGCAAAGTGTTATGTTTACAATTATTTCAACCACTGAATCTAAAATATTTTGAAGTTTTATTTTTAACCATAGGAATCTTTTCCAGTTAAAATATTTTCCAATTAAAATATCTCTAGATTTCTCCAGAACCTCCAGTGACACTCTATGGTCAACTTCCTTTAGCTACAAATATATAAAATCACATTTGAAATGTGTTGGTTTGAACAAGACAGACAGCAGGGATAATAATTACTTGTATTGCCTTCATCAGATTTTTGCATGTTGTTCTCTTTGGCTCATAGGATAAGATGCCGAAACCTGAGACAAACTTAAGAAGCGCCGTACTTTATAAAAAGCCAACCTCTTGTTACAGCCAAATATCCACGGTCGGCCCATTAGCATGAATTAATACAATAGCAGTCTCCTTCCTAGTTGTGTTCCCATGACATTGTTTCTGAGATCGATAGTCTGGAGATAAGAGTCTCCTTTGAGGATGGATGACTCAAGTATGGAGTTTTTATTTAGTGTTGTATTTTTCATGTATTCATGAACCCTTCTGTAAGGAAGCGTAATCCCACCTAAATGGGATTACCAAAATTAAGTAAATATGTATGTTGATCCACCTAA